AAAAAAAATAGTTCTTAGCAAAGGAGGGACTCTGAGCCAGTGGGTTCTAGAAAGAAAACAAATGAAGATTGTAATCATCACCAGTTTTTCACAGCAGTAACTTAATGGTGGCAGTTAAAAGGATATGGGTTTTGGGTAAGGGCTGAGGGGAATCTTTGTGGTTTTTTTTAATTAAAAAAAAATTTTAATACCCTTTCATTTTGCTGTGTTTCTATATTTTCACATTCTGGAAGGAATGTAAAAAAGCGTTTTCTTGTTTTAGGCATTCTCAATTTAAAACTACTTTTTTGTCTTGATACGTTAAAAAATTTGTCTATTTCACTTTTAGATACTTTTTTCGGGAGGGTCAGCCTATATAATTATGAAATCAGTTATAAACTAAAGATGAGTTTATTTTGGTCTTTTAAAAGTGAATCATTAGATTCATTATGCTTTGCCTGATCAGTGTTTAAAAATGTACTGAAAATTTTTTCTTTTAGCTGAGTAATACATAAAACATATTCTTGTAAGAAATTATATAATACAGAATTATGTAAAGTGAAAACGTTCCCATACCCTCAACTTCACCTTCCAAATCCACTTCTCTCCCTGAGATTGTCCAGTTTTAACAATATGCTGTATATTCTTTCCCATGCTTTCTTCGCATACCAATTTGTGCACATATACAAATATATAGTTGTAAAAGTACATTGAATGGGCCTAAACATTGTTTTTACTTGTTTTATTCATGTAACAGTAAGTTATTATTTTTCCAGGTCATTATAGGGCCCCCATCTCAGTTGTTTTCTTAGCTTCATTATAACATGGTTCTGATGGATTCAGTGCCATATTTTGTTTATGCATTTTCTTATTGATGAACAATTATATTGTATTAACGTGTGTTGGTGTTTTTTGTCTTTTTACCATTGTAAGCCTTGCTGAATTAACATTCTTCCACATTTATTTGTGTACATGCAGATATGTTTTTGTAGGATAGATGTTTGTAATTAGAATTGTTGAGTGAAGGGCTGGATCTTTAAATTTTGAACTGTATCACCAAATTGCCTGCTTAACTCAACAAAGGATGAGACTGTTTTCTTCTAAGTTCTAGAAATCAGAGATGTTTAGATCTTTGCCAGTCTCGTGGTGAAAAATATTTTCTTGTATTTGCACATGCATTTCTCCAAATATGGTTGAGGCTGAGATTTTTTTTTCCATATATTTATTAGCCATTTATATTTTTCTGTGATTTCCTATTTCTTTGTTTTATTATTCTATTGGATCTTGATGAATATTTGCCCATTCCTATGGCAAGATCTGGGTCCAGTTATTGATCTAGTTTTAAGTGGCCATTAGAGAACTCATGATTGTCACGGTGCTGAAGGGGATTTCTTAAATGAGGCTGGAGCTCATCTTTTTCTTGTAG